TTGATTGATTGATTGATCGGTTTTGTTTTTTCTCTTTTACTTTTTGAAGTTTTTGTTTTTTAATCAATCAATCAATCAATCATAATCAATCAGATTGATTGATTGATTGATTGATTGATTGAATGATTGATTGATTGATTATAAAAAAAACAATTTCAAAAAGTAAAAAACAAAAAACAAAACCCTGTTGTTCCCCCATTGACGTAGTCAAAAAGGTCGGGCGAGGGCTTCGAGGTGCGGACAACGGCAGGGAGGGTCGGGTGCTTGTGTCGGGCGAGGGCTTGGAGGTGCGGGTGACGGCAGGGAGGCTCGGGTGCCTGTAATGGCGCGATGACAAAAAAGAAGATGAGCAAGATGACCGTGGGGTGGGGGGGGGTCGGGGGGGGGGTGGAAGGAGGATGATGAACGAGAGGAGTAGTAGAAGGAAGAAGGAGAAGAACAGGGGGAGAGGGGGGAGGACGAGGAGGACGGCGACGATGAGGATCAAGAAAAAGAAGAAGAGGACGAGGAGAACCGGGATGTGAGAGATATCACGGAGGAGGAGGAAGAGGAGGAGCACAAAGGAGAGAGTTGTGTAGGAGGAGGAGGAGGAGCAGGAGGAGAGATATGGTGGACGAGAAGGAGGAGGAAGAAGAGGAGGAGGAGGAATAGGAAAAAGGACAAGTGGAGGAGGACGACCACGATGAGGAAGAAGAAGAAGAGGACGAGGAGGACCGGGATGTGAGAGATATGGCGGCACAGGAGGAAGAGGAGGAGCAAGAGCAGAGAGAGATGGCGGAGGAGGAGGAGGAGCAGGAGGAGAGAGATATGACGGACATGGCGAACAAGAAGGAGGAAGAGGAGGAGGAGGAGGACGAAGGAGAAGAGGAGGAGGAGGAGGAGGAGGAGGAGGAGGAGGAGGAGGAGGAGGAGGACGAAGGAGAAGAGGAGGAGGAGGAGGAGGATGTCGAAGTTCATTATGTCGCGGAAGGAGAGAGGGGGCAAGAGGAGGAGGAGGAGGAAGAGGAGAGGAGGGGTAGAAGGAGGCATATAATGGCGCGCTGCCAAAAAAGGGGTGGCACGTGGCACCTTTTTACAGGACGAGCCGACCGAGGAACACGAGGAGGAGGAGGAGGACTTAAGGAGGAGAAGGACAAGAAGAGGAGGAGGAAGGAGAATAGGTGGAAAGGAAAAGGATGAGGTGGGGAGATATGGCCGAGAAGGACGAGGAGGAGGAGATATGGCGGCGGCGGCGGTGGAGGAGGAGGAGGACGACAGAGATATGGCGCCGGGGGAGGAGGAGGAGAGAGATATGGCGACGACGGAGGAGGAGGACGAGGAGGACACATATGGCAGAGAAAGAGGAGGAGGAAAAGGAGGAGGAGGAGGAGGAGAGAAGAAGAAAACGACGAAAGGAGGAGAAGGAGGAGGAGGAGGAGGAGGAGAAGGAGAGGAAAAATATGAAAGGAGGAAGAAGTATAAGAGAAGAAGATACGAAGAAGAAGAAGAAGAAGAAGAAGAAGAAAAAGAAAAAGAAAAAGAAGAAGAAGAAGAAGGGAAGAAGAAGAAGAAGGGAAGAAGAAGAAAAAAAGAAGATGAAGAAGACGATTTGAAGAAGAAGAAGAAGAAGAAGATAAAAAAAAAAACAAAATAAAAAAACGTCGTGCATGCTGACCAGGCAGCCGTGCGACGATGACAGAACTCGGGGAGGAGGAGACAGAGGAGGAGGAGGAGAGAAGAAGAAGACGACGAGAGGAGGAGGAGGAGGAGGAGAGAAGAAGAAGACGATGAAAGGAGGAGGAGGAGGAGGAGGAGGAGGAGAGAAGAAGAAGAACACGAAAGGAGGAGGAGGAAAAAACTCACTATGTCCGAGTTTGTCACGCTGCCAAAAAAAAGAAAATGTGCCACGTGGCACCATTTTAGAGGACGAGGAGGGGGAGGAGGGGGAGGAGTAGGAAGAAGAAGAGGAGGAGGAGGACAAGTACAAGGAGGAGACAAAGGACGAAGAGGAGGATTGGGCGGGCGCTCAGGGGACATCTCTCTCTCTTACCTCGAGTGCTGATGTGGTGATAGCTCCTCCCGGTGATGGTGGTGACACCACGGCGTCTCCAAGCAACGGCAGCGATGGGGGTCCAGGCGCGAGCAGCAACGGTCGATGACTCATCCAGGCGTCGGCAGCAACAGGCGGTGGCTCACGTCCAGCGAATGCGGCGGGAGGCGGGAGTGAAGCCCAGCCAGGGACAACCAGTTCCCAGCGAGATTCGAATTCGAATCGAGGTTGGGCCTCCCACAACCCCCCCGCCCAGCCAAAACCCCGCCCACACGAAAAGTAGGCTTGGGGCGCCCTGAACACGCCGGTACGGCCCCGGAAAAGAAAAAAAAAAAAACTTGTACGGGGCCTTCTCTGAATATGTACGTGAGTACAAGTCCACGTACGGGTCCGCGTACGAAAAAAACTCGTACGACCTGTACAGAAATGCCCCGTACAGGTACGCCCGGTAATGCAGATCTGGACGACACTGATACAAATGGAAAAAAACAAGACCCCGGGGGTAGACGGGCTCCCAAAGGAGTTTTGGGAAGCAATGTGGTATGTTCTCTCAATATACTTAATGTAGTATTTTCACGAGGTCTGGGGCTCAGGAGAGATGGGGGAAATAGTAAGTCAAGGAATACTTACCTTCCTATATAAAAAAGGGGATAAGACAAACATCAGGAATTACAGACCAATAATCTTACTAATGGTTGTCTACAAACTGTTAGCAAAAACACTGGCTAACCGTATGATCCCCATCATGCCTGATATCATTCATCCGTCCCAAACAGGGTTCATTAAGGGTCGTCATAGACAAGATAACGTCATCTTAATCAATGAAATGGTTAAAGTGGCAAGACAATCTAAACAAAATGCGACGGTGGTTTTTATTGATTTTGAAAAAGCCTATGACCATGTGGATTGACGTTTTTTAGACGCCTGCTTGCAAAAGTTAAATTTTGGTCCTAACATGTGTAGATGGGTTAAAATTCTATATGAAAATGCCACTACACGAATCCTGGTGAATGGATTGTTGTCTCCAGAAATTCGGATTCAGAGGTCGGTAAGACAAGGGGATCCGTTGACTCCTTTTCTTTTTGTTATAGTAATGGAAGCTCTAGGTGCGAATCTTAGAGTTAACTATAATATCAAACGACTAAAGATCTCAGGTATACCAGAGGAAGCAATACCCATAACCTCCATGTTTGCAGACGATTTAACTATTATGATGGAGGCCTCAGTGACAAATATGAAAGAAATAAAGAATTTATTAGATAAATTTACAGTACTATCAGACATGGTAATCAATTGGGGGAGTAAAACTCAAGGCTGGTGGATTCACTCCAATGGCGACCGTCCTCCTTAATCCCCTAGGGTACAATGGTTGCCCTAAGAGGCACCATTGAGGGTGTTGGGAGTATGTCTTCGAGTCGTTGGTAAGCCCAACTCCAATGACGAATGAATTTCTATACCTGCAATAGAAAAAATGAATCAATGGAAAAATCAGCATACCTCACTTTATGGCAGATCACTATTAATAAATAACGTAGTTTTGACCTCTATATGGTACAAGTCAATGTTGTGGGCTATCGGCAAACCACGGGTCAAACACCTTCAAAAACTAGTAACGGCCTTCCTTTAGAGAGGAAATCACAAAGTGGAAAGAGTCATTCCTAAAGTAGCATGGTCCACCCTCATCCAACCAAGCTCTAAGGGGGGGTTAGGAATCTTGGACCCTACCCTGCAATGTCAATTTTTGTCCATTCAATGGATGATCGACCTCATATTTGGAATGGACAAGCCCTGACAACCTTCGGCCCTAAAACAAATAAGGGAACTAGCGTCATCTACACCACCAGAGGTCCACCCCCTCACCTGGGTAGAAAACAGGTTCTGAAATATTCCCCGACCTTGTACTAAGTCAAAACATGAAGGAGAGAAAGATGTGGCTCGAGAAGATCTTCGTGTTGATAACCTATGGGCATCCCTTTTGAAAATATGGCGAAAGCTACCCCTGCCAAATAAACCTTCTCCCATACGTTTTGAATAAATATTAAGAAAACCTTTGTTTGGGAACAAATGGATAATGAATGCTAATCGTTGCATATACAATAGTTCATATCCTCCCTGGTCTCAGTGGGTGAAAAAGGGGGTAATTCGACTAAAAGACATCTGGAACTTGGAAAACAAAGGTTGAAAATCCTCTTATCAACTTAAGAAAACCATCATATACGCTCACAGACTACCTCAAAATTTGGACCAGATTACGTGCTCCATTCCTCTGGCCTGAGCGAGAATTGAGAAAGGGAGTAAGATTGCAGGAGGAGGACTTAATAGCAATCACACAAGACCCGGAATGTTGGCAAGTGTGGCAAATATCGAGCTTGGTGCGAGAAGGAGCCCTAATAACACTTTTCAAAGTAACCGTACAACATTTTCTCTGTCCTGCAACATCTGACCAAGTCAAGTTCTTTCCACTCGAAGTAATGTTCAGAATTAGAGTTATTTTTATTTCAGCAACCGAAGGATAGAGAGTTTTTAATCCGCAATGCCTAATTCCTGATCTACCTTTGGATCCACTTGAATGGGTATGGCAAACGGGGAAAAAAAACAAATCACATGCCCTGCAAAATCTCACTGTTAAAGCGACATATCGACTGTTACGACCACGTGTGGATGTCTTGTCTGTAATAAGGGAACGATGGGTCAGACATTTAAATATCGATGCATAAAATATTCAAAATCTAAAATGATTTAATAAGTTAAATAAACGACCTGCTAAGTTTTCCTCGCTGCAATGACAATTACTTCATCGATGTTTGCCAGCAAATGATTGGCTTATTGACCACACCAATTTAGAGCAACGCGGTCTGGCAGTTCCCTCATGTAAAAAATCATGCCTATCGAGATTCCCAAACCGGAAAAAAAGGAAAATCATTGAACATATCTTTCTTCAATATCCGGGATGAATTCTGTTATGGAGAAAATGGGATTGTGTATGAAGGGGTCTAACAGGGAGAGACTGACCATGGAACTGGAAAACCATCCTCCTGGTACAATGGGAACCAGTGGTTGACCAACTCTCGGAATTTCAAGATAATTTCTTTAAAATTGGACGAAAAATCATTCTCTGGGCATTATGGTATAAAAGGTGTGTATATGAGAGAGAAAAAGTAGAATTGGAGGAAAAAGAACTATCTGAGATAATTATCCAATTTGTTTAGCCGAAAATACGAGCATAGTGGGCGGTGGTTCGTTCAAGGATTCAACTTTTTCATCAAAAAAATGATATCATTAACAATATTCATAAGTTCAATATACATTGGTTGGGGAGAACTGAAGGAGACAGCTTAGGAGAAGTGAAATGGTCGGGCAAAGATGACCAAGGATAAATCTTAAAGAGGGACTATTTCCTGCTCTTCAGAGACTGGTTCTCATCTCCACCACATGCCACTCTCAGACCACCGGAATGCTTTCTAGACCCATTCCCCCCATCGGAATTGACATTGGTTGATATCCATTGGTATACAGGGTGAGTTGAATATTTCCACGACATATAGCAGATGGGACAAGAAAAAGATAGGAGATAGTTTTTGCTAGGTTTAAGGGTAAAATATGGCGGCCAAAGTTTTTTGGTTGAAGAGGCAGAACACACGCTCCTCCTCTTTTCAAACTATGGTTCTAATTTATATTTATTTGGGATGTTGGACTCGGTTTCCAGCAGGTGCAGCTCCCCACCAATAGAATGGAGTCTGCGGGCAGGATGTTAGTGACGGATGCTCCTATCACCATCACTAGCTACCTGCTGCAGTTTTTTGGAAAAAAAAAAAAAAAAAAAAAAAAAGATATGTTGAATGGTAGTGTGAGTCTGAGAAATGTGTTGCAACAAGGGTTACCGACAGGAGCACACTGGACGGTAGTGAGCCAACGGATGTTACAAGCAGTGAAAGCACTTTTTCGCCCGCCTTCCTGACAGCTGGTGCCTGTAAATTCAGAGGAGGAAGAGCAACATAACGCGTTGGTTCGGCAACTTCAATTTTTTTTTTTTTTTTTTTTTTTTTTTTTTTTTTTTTTTCGCTGGGACCTTCGCCGGTCCTTGCACGGGTTGGCCACCCGGGACCCAGGCGGCCCGGCTGGTAGCCTATAACAGAAGGCTCTAATCTATTCGTGGGGAGCAGCACGTGCTGAGAACTGGGCACAGCATCCCATATGGAAATTTTTACATAGAAGTTTTGAAAATTTAAGATATTTGAGATACCAGGCTAGGCTACCAGAGTGGCCCGGAGCCAGTTGCCCGACCGGGCCAAAAAAAAATAAAAAACAAAAATTAGTTTTTTACTTTATTTTTTATTTTAAATTTGGTAAAGCATTTCAATGTGACCCTGAGGCAAACGTTGTTCAGTTTCGTTTTCTGCATAACATAGTTTTTTTTGGACTCTTTTTTTTTTTTTTTTTTTGCTAGGACCTTCCCTGGGCCTTGCACGGCCAAGCCGTCCAGGAATATAGGGTGACCCAAGCGGCCCAACTGATAGCCTAAAAACCGGGGCCATTACCCGACTTTGGCTAAGAAAAAATTCTCAAAGAGATGTTTCATTGAATCACGATGAGGAATCTCAATTGCATGTAACACAATCCTCACTTGCTGAACTACCGGACGCAACCCTCTCTCTTCTAAGGGACTCAGAGTTGTCACATTTAGAGGAAGATGTTATTATCTTAGGATACACCAACGATGAGCAAGGGGCAAAAGAGGAAGGACAGAAAGGAGAAGACTTGTCAGTTAATGGTAACGTAGACTCAAACAATCAGCAGCAATGTCCTGAGCAGTCACAACATGAACTGCTGACACATCCCCTCCCTGCACACTCTACATAACAGTTGAAATCAGCTGATTCGGTTGCGATGACTAACAAGGATTTGTTCTCTCAGGGACAACAACATGAACAGACATCACAATATGAAGAACAACTGAAACAGGTGCCACAACGGAAGCAACCTCCAGTCCAACAGTCACAAAATTTGCAGTCTCAACAATCCTTGGTCTCCTTCCCTCCTCCAGTCTCACAGGAGACTGGTAAGAGATTAAAATTGAGGCAAATTTTAAAAAAATAACAAGTCA